CTGAGTATTTTGTGCTTTTACTAACTTAATATAATATAATGGTGATTGTTTTGATTTAGATGTGGATGAGGATATCTGGTGCTTTACAAAAGAAGATCAATGCTGAATTCACTTACAAACAAGTAGCAAGAGCCAGCTCTGATGAAAACTCTCTCACAGCAAAACAAATAGAAAAGGTACCATAACACACACATACACATAGAAAGAAAACTTCAATGTTGCTTATAATGCTGAGGTTTTTGTTTTATTCACATTATTTAGGATTTGCAACGTACTATTCCAAACAATGCTTGTTTTTACAAGCAAACAAGTACTGGTCTGTTGAGATTGAGGAGGATCCTAAGGGCATTAGCATGGCTTTATCCAGATATTGGCTACTGTCAGGGAATGGGAATGGTATGTTTTATGATAATATATAGAACTAGATACAGTGTAGATTACATTAGTCATATTGCTACTGTCAGGGAATGGGAATGGTAGGTTTTTTGATAGTGTAGATTACGTTAGTCATATTGTGATTCATACTGTTTTAGGTTAGTGTTTTTACTTGAGTTTCGTGGTCTAATCTCAGGAGGGTACCGTTATAATGTTATGACTTCACCTGTTATCCTTGGCACCCTTGTTATCCTTAACACCCCTGTAATCCTTCACGAGTTTGTAAGGTTTCTTGTGATTGGAGGAATAAATCAATGCTATTTATACCTTCTGAAATAAGAGATACAAGTCACTCTTGTTTTTCTATTTAGATTGTAGCTTCACTGCTGTTGTTTGTAGAAGAAGAGGATGCATTCTGGTTGATGTGTACCGTGATAGAAGACCTCAATCCACCRTCATACTTCACTAGTACTCTTATTGGTGTMCAAGCAGACCAGCGAGTACTGAGACAACTTATTGTTAGTTACCTTCCACACACAGATGAACAACTTAAAGAACATGACATAGGTAAGTGCTATTCACTAGATAAATTGATACAATCAAAGTTGCTATACTGGTTGTAAAGTGAAAGTGTTTGTTTACAATCACTGGAAGTTGTTTATCTTGCTATTCCATTTGCACCAAT